CTGGAGACGAGTTCCAGCGACGACGAGTTCGCCGTGGTCACCGTCGTCCGGGAATGTCTCGCAGGCGCATGCAGGCTGGAAGGCCAACCGGCCGGGGGGCGAGAGCGAGAATAGCTTTCAGTTTACCGAGCTGTTTGAGCGGTTTTGTTCGTACCGCGACGAGAAGAGCTTGGGCGATCATGGGGGCGCCTAGAATGAGAGAGTGTTCATGGTCACGTGGTTTATGGACACCATGGTGTGACTAACTTGAGCAGTGTTGCCTGGTCGCCAGATGAAAATTATAAAAATTCGTAAATTGAATATTGCAATTATCAGAGCTCTAAAAATTTCGTAACTTGGTGTATATACTAAGTAGCCTATGAGCATTCCATTTCAAGAATAATCTATCCGTTTAATTTTCGTGTCATAACCCCTTTAAACTCATGAACAAGGTGTCCACTTCCTCTCCAAAATTTCAGCTAGTTCCTGTAATGTATCCTGGTTATCTGCCATAAGTAGAATGTCATCCACATACATCAGTCCTGGTATCACCTGTATTACATTTCTCCCTACTTCAATATAACTGCCTCCTTCCATATAACTGAGAGAAAGAGACTACAGTGACACGGGGCAGAAATTCAGTAGTGGTGTTTTAATTTCAATATGCGATATCCCTAATTCGGTCAGGAGGCGTGATCTGGAGACCTACGCAGAGTGTGGAGGTAGAAATAATATTGAGTGACTGTTTTACTTACCTTATTGGGAATTATTACTTCCCTCCACTATCAAAATCGAGTGAGTTTATTAACCACCTGCAAATGCTCAAACAGAAAGTTGATTTTTCAAAGTTTCAAATTCATCTTTATGGGGATTTTAACCTTTTAGGCATAAACTGGGCATCCGATACCCTTTCTAGTGGAACCACCCAAACGGTAAAACCATCCAGATTAATTGATTTTATTAATTTTAATGGACTCATACAACGCAATCACTACAAAAACAATGCCAGGAATGTCTTAGATTCTTGTCTTTCCAACTGCCCAATAGAAAGTATATTGCCAGTGATTGATCCTCTTGTGCGGCCTGACATATTTCGCCCACCTTTTGTAGCAACCTTTGGCTTTTCAGGGCGAACATGTCATCATCACAGTTCTACCAACTATGCTTATCCAATGGTGATTATTTAGGGTTGTACACGTTGCTATGAGACTACAATTGGTCAGTGTTTCTTAACGATATTTGTGTTAATTCCGCGACTCAATCTTCGACAGATATATAGTAGGAAATGCGATTGATATGTTCATTACTGAGCGTGTCTCTAAGCCTACTAAGTTCCCGTTTTGGCTTTCAAAAGAATTAATATATTATATGCACAGGAAAGAACATTTCCGTAAACTGTTTAAAAGAACTGGAGTCGAATTATGGTACACAAAATTCAGTATCTATCGTGCGCTCGTGAAAAAATGGTTCAAATATGACAAACGTGTTTATGAAAAGAATGTTGAAAGTAGTCTGTTTCGCGAGCCCGATATATTACGGCAGTTCATCAGGCAACACAAGAAGGGGTCTTCGAGAATCCTCTCTTTACGTAATGGTATGGACTACGTAACTTCTCCTGAAGGAGTAACGGGTATCTTTCGAAACTATTTTAGTGAGTGTTACTCTACTGATGTATGTGGAAGTACACCCTATGTTGGTAACATTGGCTGTAGCGACACTTTTACAGTCTCACAGGTTGACACAAACGAAATTTTAGAGGTGATGAAAAGATTAAAGCCTAAGCGTTCTGTGGGTGCTGATCTTATACCTGGTTTCATTGTCAAGGGTTGCGCTGATTTGCGCTGAAGAAAGGGAGTTTTCCCCTCTTTGTGGAAAAAGTCGATTGTAGTGCCAGTGCACAAAGCCGGTGACGTGTCAAAGGTAGAGAACTATCGCCCTGTGTCTTTGCTGTGTTCTTTCTCAAAGGTTTTTAAGATCGTCATACATACCCGCGTTTCTTTTTACTTCAGCCGAAAACTAGGCACCGTTCAGCATGGATTTATAAAAGGTCACCCAGTAGAAACAAATCTCTGTTCTTTCCTGGATTACATAGCACTAATTGTTTTTTCACGAAAACAAGCCGACACTGTTTACTTTGATTTATCCGAGGCTTTCGATAAGGTGAATCATGCACTGCTCTTGTATAAACTATCCTTATATGGTATAACCATGCCACTTTTAACTTTGTTTAATAGTTGTCTTACTGATCGTCAAAATAGTGTCCGCGTATTGAGCAGTCTATCAGAAGTTCTTGTACCCTCTTCCGGTGTCCCCAAGGATCAAACTTAGGGCCACTTCTTTTTCTTATTTTTATCAATGACATCAACATGTGCGTAAAGAATGCACAGATGTTTTTGTATGCGGATGACATCAAACTTTTAATGAAAATTCAATCAGAAGATGACTGTGCTCTTTTGCAGGATGACATATTATGCATTTCTGAATGATGTTCAGATAATTTTTTACTTAACCCAGTTAAAACCAATATACTCACTGTGTGTAGAAAACGCAAAAACATTTCTTACCCGTGCATACTTGGCAATTGTACTATTTGACGGGTTGAACGAGCATGTGACCTTGGCGTTTATTTTGATAGGAATCTTTCCTTTCCAAATCATGTTAGCCAGATTGTTGCTTCAGCTTTTCGAGTGATGGGAATGATATCACATGTGACGCACAACTTTTCCAATTCTTTATGTGTCGTCCGCTTGTTTTGCTCCTTGGTGCGAGTTAGACTCAAGCTTTGCAGTGCTGTATGGAATTCGCTGACTCCAGGTGACGCAGGGCAAATCGAAAGGGTTCAAAAACGATTTGTTCGAACTGTTTATGGTAGGTATTTTGGGATGAAATGTTATTACGACTATGAATACATTCTTGGAGAATTTTCCTTGTGCAACTTGATAAAGAGACGGACTGCTCGTGATGTTTTATTTTTACGTAAAGTTGTTCACGGCCATGTACAGGGTGTCACAAAAGAAAATTTACACAGTCTTTTTTACCGCAAAAATAAACTAGGCATCGCCGAACTCTCATTCTCCGCCCAGAGGTAGAGCTAGAGGTCACAACCAGATGCCAAAGTTTCAGCCCGATCCGATAACTTAATCAAAAGTTATTAGTGATTTTCTGAAAATTTCAATGGGAAAATGGAGCCCATTTTTGCCCGTTTTCGGTTTCTGGTGCCATAGAGCCCCATGTGTTTGAAAACTCGGTCGGCCGCCATTTTCCCATTGAAATTTTCAGAAAATCACTTATAACTTTTGATTAAGTTATCGGATCGGGCTGAAACTTTGGCATCTGGCTGTGACCTCTAGCGCCATCTTTGGACAGAGAATGAGCGTCCGGCGATGCCTAGTTTATTTTTGCGGTAAAAAAGACAGTGTAAATTTTCTTTTGTGACACCCTGTAGATAGTGAACCGGTGTCATCGCTGGGATTTCATGTGCCAGCTCGTGCTATTAGAGGAACGAGTGTATTTTATCCCTCTGTGCAATCGCAATTGTCACCATGGGTGCGGATGCAAATTCGTGATAATGAATGGTCGCCTCATGTTGATGTTTTTTTCAGATTCTTTTTGTCTTTAAATGAGAGCTTGATTTCTATCGTTTCGGCTACTGACCCACACTGTATTTTGCAATAGTGGCAGACATCGTTATGGATTTTTCTTTTGTATCTTATTTTATGTGCAACAACATTATAAGCTATTGGTTGTTCTGGGGCACGAATCAAACAAAGCATTATCATGATTATTATCATTATTACTATAAAGCCTACGTCGCTCTGATCTAATTTCTTTTCCATTTCACCGAGATATATCAGGAAGCGCGAAGGTGAGAGTGGACCGCCCAGAGTGAGCCCTTTTACTGCTGAGGGTTGTGTAGTATTGGCCCGAGTCCAATGTTGCCGGATGGAGCCAAAGTTTAGGTTTCAACTTCTGCTCGTGTTTACAATTAGATTTAACAATATATATTCCATTTCTTGCGAAGAAAAAGACATACTGTCTTTTACTACAGTTTCAATGCAAAATCACTCATTATCTCGAAATATTAGGAATTAAGCAGAGTTGCCCTTTAAAGTACTACTTCAAGTAAGTTTAGAAAACTTGTTCTTTACTCGAAATACACTCTTGGAGTATGTACTTCACTTAAAGTATTTTTTTTCTGGTATTTTCTAAGGAAAGTACTACTCCCAAATTCAAAGCACTGTATTTACTCGCATAATGAACGCACCCCCCCAACGGGCATCAAGACTGACTTCTTTTTTCCCCTCGCATAATGAACGTACCTCCAATTTTCGGCTTTGCGAGTCTCAAACTGCGTCCAACTCAGCTAGCTACCAAGGGGCCGGTCCAAGTCAAGCCAAGCCAAGCTGCTCTCGTAATGGCTGCAACTGCGTAGTTATGGAAGTGATCAACTGTGAAACTAAGCGGCAAGCACACCTAACAAAGCTGGGGTTGAGGAATAGCCCAGCCCCGGACATGCTTCGCCCATCGGATGCTTTGAAGTCAACGATCACGCTGTCATCTGTGGTCCGCTTTCGAACAGTGAAATCGTGACAGTGGTTAGGCCTGAGAACGGTCGCGTGACTCTTCATTCTGAGTGAGCTTGGTAGGTCGCTTTTTCTTTGGCAAAAGACACGCCAAAAGCGCCCTAAAAAAGGTTCGCAATTGATAGAGCGTGGGGACTGTGGCACGCCCACAATCAGTTGCGGGTGTGCTTCCGTCAGTGGAGACGTGCCACAGTACACTGCTATGTCATAATGGCATCTACAATGACACTTGCGTGAAGTGTGGAAATGCAAAAATTTTACCTCGCATAATGAACGCACCCCCCAAATACGTGTCAATTTTTCGGGAAAAAAAGTCCGTTCAGTATGCGAGTAAATATCATACATTCCCTAAATATCGTCTTCATAATTTTATATCACAAAATGATGCTCCGTTAACTCTGAAGAAATACTGGGAAAGATATTCTACTCTCACCAGGAATGTGGAATGCATCACTTTATTTGTACTGGGGGATAGCTTTCCCGCAGCATTTCAAACTTTCGCTACTTCTTGCACGGTCAGCGCAAGTGAGGAGATCGGAAGTATTAGAAGGGGACACTCCTCCAAGAGAGGATTGCTTGTGGAAGCTACATGGCTGGCATCACGCTCTCTCCTATACTTCGTTTCAGTTTAAGTCCAGCTAAAACTGGATCTCAAGATCCAATTTTAGTGCCCCTTTAAACTTATATTTTGAGAACTACACAATTCTGTCGTTGACGGCACAACGTTCGACCTTTGCTGCAGGTATCCGCCACAGTGATACTTTGTGGTAAGCCTTTTGTAACAGAAGTACACAGTACACAAAACAACTCCTTAAAAAGTGAAGTCTGAAGCGTCAAAGAGTTCCGATTAGAACGGATTTCCAAATGACGTCCCAATTCAAGCGTCTCACCCACCGCCCTCAGCGCACGTTGTTCCGATGAATGAGCAGGTGCTGGTTCAGGTTGCTCTTCTGCGCAAAGGAGCGCGGGCACATGCTGCAGCGGAAGGGTTTCTCTCCGGTGTGGCAGCGCAGGTGTGTAGTCACGTGGTGCTTGAAGGTGAAGGCCTTGCTACACAGCGGGCACTTGTATGGACGCTCCCCCGTGTGAATGCGTTCGTGTGCCACCACGTAGCACTTGTACTCGCTCTTGTACTCGCAATAGCTGCACTGGAAGCGCGACCGCTCGGGCTTGCCAGGCTGTTTCCGACATCGGGGAGGGGCGACCAGTCCTGAAAGACGTCGGCCGTTTCAGCGGAACAAATACGAGCGCCCCGCTTAGTTCTCGCATTCGTTGCGAGCGAATCGCAAGGCCTAGGCGCGACAAAATGGGTTACACTTCAGATTGACAATACCTCGGTCATCTGGGTGCTTAAAATCATTGTTTTTAGTCATTTGAAGCCTTATCTGAAATCGCAAGAAACGCTTTTCAGCCCTCCTAAAGCATCGGAACAGTTCACGACAAAGCAAAAACATATAGCCTGAGCTTTCCGATATGGTATCAAAAACTTGGCAAGTCGCATTTTCGAATTGTAACAATTGCTAACGGCACCCACAAGAAAATCGGAAAATAGTGTGCCAGCGTAGCCTATTCAGTAGCTCTAGCAAGGACTAGAGCTAATATTTCCAGTGTGCCACATTACATAGCATCTGCTTGATCGGAGGAATCAACACGATCGAGCCTTCTGATTGGCCGACATTGGATATGATAAGGTAATAGTGCCAAATAAACGAAAAGGAAAAAAGAAGTCTACTTGAGGGGGCTCTGAATAGCTAATGGATCTGGGCCAATCGGAGGGTGATGGGCGTGCTAGCTTCTTTTAATGAAGTAGCACCTAATAGACCGATCTCACTTAGCGTTCCAAGCATGTGTGATGCCGCCATAACTGTAGTTCAGAGGAGGCAGGCGCCAGTGCACGAGACAGTTTGTGCCGTCTCGTGCTCTGCTCGCACAGGCCCTCAGCGGCATTGTTGCACGTGCAGAATGGCTATAGTTTTCACGATGCATAGCGGCAGCGGTGGCGTAATGAAACTCATTGTGAGATCCGTCCATTTGTACACAAAAGATGAATGCCTACCTGCTCGTCCACTCGCAAGTAGACTTGTATCGTTACTAAAGAAAGTAAGGAATTACATTTACAATTACCCATGGCTAAATTAACAAATTACAGTTACAATTACACTTCCATAAAAGGAAGTCCGCGTTACTTCAAAAACGATTCTGTTACTTTAGTGGCGTTACTTTCAACATTACTGTCCTAGGGTAAGAAACAAGACACAAGTGTTATTGAAGCGTTTATTGCTGCCACAACTCACACTTTTGTGACCTTGAGCAACATCTGACTCTCAAACATCTTGCCTCGTTTCTATGTGAAGATGTTGTCCGATGCACTAAACACCTTTTCAATCCGCCTTTTCCCAAATAGATGATGCCACCTGGACCCGCGACTGAGTGTCTAGAAAACAATATGTTCGCAAGGCCTCCCCTACTCGCTGGACACCCGAAACGACAGCTAGAACCTGTTGGCCCATTGAGACACCATGTCCTAACTACGGCTCCACCAAACTTCATTTTTCTTCCAAGTGTTGATACAAAGAAGTCACCTTCTCTCTCTTGAAGAGAGAAAAAGAAAAGGCACGCACTGATTTGCTACACCAGCTCGCATGCACTTTGACGGGTTTTTTTTGTATTCGTTTTTATTAGGAAAACTCGGGAGTTTGCATAATATTGTTTGCATGAACAGTTTGGTTCTTTGTATCAGTGTGCTTCCCACTTCGTTGCAGGCGAGCAAGCTGACGAGTTACAATTTGCAATCAACCAAACCACAAAAAAAAAAAAAAAAAAAAAAAAAAGATTTGAGGCGAGGTTTTGTGCGACGTGAAGAAAGGCTTTGAGCATTTAAGAATGCCAGGTCTTACGTTTTGTAAATGCAGGTAACAGTGTGGTTCTGGAAAAACTTACCCTTACAAAAAAAAAATACATATACTGTATATAATTACAATTTTTTTTTGTCAATATTTCAAGTTTCTGCATTTTTCCTCCGCAAATGAAAACAAAAATGTAACGGATTACAATCATTTTCTCACGTAAAGAAAAGTAAGGAAATCACTTTACAAGTACTTTCTGAAATATGTAATTATTACCTTAGAAAATTACTGATAACCGTAAGGGATTACAAGTAATTTTGTTGCTTGTAACAGATTACGTACAAGTCTGCTTGCAAGTAATCTTGGCAGGGACCGTTTCAAATCGCTATCTACCGTAGCTTTTTCATGATTTCGAGCGGTACAGCCCTTTCTATTTCAGTCCTCGAACAGCTGATGAACTGGGGTCTGGCTCGAAGCAGTGCGACTTGGCAGGCGCAGCAGCAGTTTCTGCAGAAAACGTATCTGCAGACAATGCTGTTGTACAACTCAAACTCTCGTTGAACGAGCACAAGTTTCGGTAGTTTCAATAGACCTTTCACAAATCGCGCAGCACCGTCTGCGACACCGAAAGGAATGCTGGGAACGGCCTGTACAAAACTGACTGTAACAGACGACAGAGTCAACTGCGAAGGAGACGGGAGGATAGGCAGGCGAGCAGACGAGGGGCAGGCGAGCCAGCTACGCTATTTCCTCTCTTCAGTGTCACATGGTAGATACTGCAGGGGGCACGGGACATTCTCGCAATTCGTCGCAGATATTTGCAACAGGTCTATTGCAGACTGAACAAGATTCTGGCAGTATGTACTCGAGAGTGGCCATCTAAAGGGGAGATCTTTTCAGGGTGGCCTTCGGCGCTTCGAGTCCGAATCCGTGAAGCCAGTTCAGGAGTGGGGCGATGCCTCCCGGACCTCTCCTCGCTCCAGGTCTCCGTGGACCTAGGAGAATAGAGAGGGTGGTTAAAGTGACCCTGTCCGCTTGCACATGAATGTCCAAACAAGCGACAGAAATTTAAATGGCAGAATGATTAAAAAAATGCATACAGAAAGGAATGCAACCCTCGTGAAACGCCAAGAAAGAAAGATTGCCAGAATCGGTCTACACTTGAGCTTGCACACGTCAAAAGACGGACAGAGTAAAGGCTCTGTCTAAGGAGGTTAAAGTTGAAAGAGCCGAGAGACGCACAAAACCAAACTCGGGCAACGCCACGCAGAATCGTATACACAAGGTAGTCAGGTTTGAGGTGCACGAAAATCAAGCAAAAGTTTGCTTATCTGTACCTAGAACAGATACAAGTATTTCAGATACAGAAAACAGGAATTTCAAATCGCACCAGATATAAAAAGGAACATATTGACATAAATTACAACTCCAACACTGCACAGAGCCTTTCAGACAAAGCACTCATAACAAGAGACCCTTTAACAAGGCAGATATACGCAAACACCTTTTGCATTTACAAAAAAAAACAAATTCCCATTTTTATTTTTTTAAGCAGACTTCGAGGCACTTGTTTTTTACTGGACTTTCACAGGCTTTGCAGACAAATTTAGCCCACAGGTTCTAAATATTTAAAATATTCAAAAATGATGAGGTTATACATTTAGGAAGATTGAGCTGTGCCACATGACACGCTAGATTCGTTAAAAGGCACATCTCCTAAGATATGTTGAATGACATATGCAAGGGCTTTATATTAGAGATCAATTTGAGATAATAAAGATGCTTCAAAAAGCTGACAGAAGGCATAAAGGACATCAGTTCCAGCTTATAATGCAGGCAGGTAATGCACAGACAGAGGAGTAAGTGCAAGCACCACGGAAAGTCACGAGTTCATACCAAGAGCTTTATGACAGGACACTTTTCTTATAAACAATAGAAATTCAATCAAACAGACCAAGAAAAGAGAGACAATTTTGTCTTTAGCCAAGGTTGGTTAAAGCTGACTATTTCTTTTAGCATCCTCTTTAAACTCAAAAGAATTATAGCACAAACCACAAACTACTAAAAACTGTCACAAAAAAAAGCGTAAAAAAAATAAAAATTGTTACCTTAGACCGAAATATCATGCCCCTCTTTGTTAACAACCTTTTGCAATCCCTTAAAACCCCGTCCTTTCTTTAACACAACACACCAATGTGATGAAAATTGTCCTCCAGAAACACTAAATTTCATAACTTCATTATTTTTTTATTTTTTTTTTTAAATTTCATTTTATTTTTATTTATGGGGACGGGGGGGGCGGGGAGTACAGTAGAGACGCCGAAGGCCCATAACAGGTGGCCTGCAAACACCTAAATTAAGAGAGAAAAAAAAAAAGCTACAATAATATCTTGAGAGATAGCCCACCTAAAATCAAGAGCGAATCGGGTTAAAATTAGGAGTAGGCTAACTTTCGATGTGCAATCAAGAAAAATTGAAAAAATTCAATTTTTAGGTTATGTGTCCCCGCCAAGCTTCTTATCGTGGCGAGGGAAATGAAGCAAAGATGACTACTTTCCAGTCAGCAAAGTTTGCTTATATCCCACCATAGCTAACTGGCCACATTTACTCAGAGACCACCGTTGATCATTACTAGGAGTGGGCTATCTTCTGGTGTTTACGAAAAAATAGCAAACCAAGACAAAAATAGAAGTCGGTTATCTTTTGGGGGCGGGGCATCTCTCTGGATATTACGGTAGGTACATGCGCAACAAGGATTACGGTAGCGCTGACTCTTCCTAGCTTCGAGTCCTGCAAGAATGCCAGGATCAGCTGCCGTGGGTAATTTCATGGAAGAACAACAGATCCTCGTGTTCTCGTGTTGACATGCCGCGGGAAGCGACATTTCTTCAGATGCCTGGAAAATAAGAATAAAAATTAATGAATTTAACTACAGTTGAGATTAGAATGTCAGGCTCAAACACACGCGAGCTGGTAGATATGCTCAGCACGATGGCCCATGTTACCAAAGTTCCTTTGTCTGTCAATATACATGGACCTACGTCACATGATGATGTCAAACACTGGTAACCACCATGCTGATGGTTGACTGATGGCCTTTTGCAGCGAGAACAATGGTAAACTGCACTGCGCTCAGCTGTAGTAGTTACTACGTATCCCGACGATCGTCCGATCGTTTCGTCGGCATGCCCTGCGAGACAGAGTAGCCGTCAAGTTAGAGAAAGTATGAGCAACAGGAAAGGGATGCGGCCGCGAATTATCAAGTTTGCGGGACACATTTCATAGCGGCGAGCAACGGCACTTTTCTATCGTTGTTTACATTCACGTACGCCTTTGCGCCGGCTTTTTCCCGTTTGTGGTGTAGACGTCCTTTGCCTTTCGTCACATAATGCCGTTTCCACGCTTCGAGCGCACCTTCGGGGCTCCCAGCCGATCACGGGCGAGTGTCGCACCGCGAGCCCGGCCAGACGGCGGTTGGTCAGCGGCGGCCCCCATGTGCAAGTTCGCCGAGACGCCACCGCCAGGGCATCGATTTGTGCCGTCTGCGAGACGGTGACCTTTACAAGGAGCGAAAGTATGTAGGCGAGCTGGTATAGGAAACATCATAATATAAACCCTGAGACAATGACAGTTGTCTGTCTGTTATCTGATTTATCCTTGTCTCAGGGTTTACATTATGACGGTAACCTTGCATTGTTTACCAGTATTTCGCAAAATCGTAACAATTTTTCTACAAGTGACTCCTAGAGTAGCTCGTCAAATTTTAAAATGCGCAATTAAGCTTTTTTTTTCAGCAACACGGCAGTTTTTTTGTGTCAAAACTTTGTCGGCGGCATATCGAAACCAGGGTGTCTAGCAAATTATTATTTTGAAATTCCCTGACTTTTCCAGGTTTTTTCCTGACAATTCCAGGTGAAATTTCCTGACCACTGTAGAGGCAGTTAAATATATAAAATATAAGACCATTACAACACAAGGCATTAAGCACTGAGCACTTTGAGGATCGTTTTGCACGGGCTTAATCCAACTTGCATATATCGAACTATTCGGGTTCGTCCAGTCCGGCTGAAACGAGCCCTTGCTTGCCGCCAACATCGTCAGTGAAGAGGCCGCTTCCGGAAACACAATGAAAACACGACGCTCAACCACACACGTCAATAACCAAATGGCGGCATGGCCGCCAGACGCACAATTTCGGATACTTTCGGCTTCGATTGAATTGGGGTCTGCGGCTTTTCCATAATTGTTACTAAATCTAGTAGCTCTAATTGGATCTAGCCTAGTGTCGCGCCCTCCATCCAGTCCAATCCAAGGCTTGTACTGGATCTGTCGGCTATTCCCTTTGCATCGGGTAGCACAATCGACATCGGGTGAGCAGAGCCCGCGCTCCGCTCTAAGCAGAATTTATTGCCTATTTTTCTGCCCCTAAGTCTTTGCTCAGGGCGCTCAATGGCGTTTCCGGCTCATCTTCCCTGACTGGGCTCGCTTTCTGACAATATCCCTGACAATTCCCTGATTTTTCCCAGTAATTAAAATTTCCCTGACAATTTCCAGTTTTCCCGGTCGCTAGACACCCTGGAAACTTTCTGCTCGTAGCGCAATCGCACCAATGCCGAAAAATTCTGCACATACTAGCTAAACGTCATCATTGTACGCTCGGCACGTTTTCCAAGCTCACATGTAACACAACTATACTTCGTTTCAGCTCCCGTCCGAGGGCCAGCCAAAGGCTGAGGGGTGGTTCGCAACTTCGAGAAGAGCATTCCTAAGCACCACAAAGTAGTCTGGAAAAGTAATTTTTTTTCTTTTTTTATAACTGTTTTGTGCGTAAACATTGCACAATATTCCAGATATGTACAGCTGATAATGATTTGCATCTAAAGGAATTAAACATCTGAAGTTTATGTTTTTATTAATATATGTAAATGCATGTGGTTTGGTAAAAACACGTACATCCGCTAGCAACACGGCTGCAGTGCTCAGTTTTTCTGTGTGATTTTGTTCCCGTAATGGCCGAATCATGTGTTCCACTGCTTTCCTCACCAAGTCGCTTCAAAACGTCCTTCTGCAAAGGCACTTTGGGCGTCAGGCGCGAGAAGTCGTGATGAATGTCTGCTTTCAAATTCGGCAGGAGACTTTGGCTGCGTCGTACCGCGAATGCGTTGTAAACAAGAAAAGCGTCCGGGCCACTACAATTCACTGATACACGGCGAAATCAGGGCACCCCTTTACCTGCCGATCACATTGAACGCCGAGAAGCTGGTGGAAAGGACTGCGCCTAGAGCCCTGGTATATCCAGACAACACAAGAAAACATCAACGGCCGGGTCATCGGGCTCCTTGCAACGTGTACTTACAGCTCGAAACTATGCCGAACAGGTGGAAAGCTCGGACACAGATGCCAGCGGCCAGCCTACATACTGACATCCCCTGTGACTAAATTTCAGAATGTGAAAGGGCATTTTTGAAACTTGTAGCAAACGATACCGTTGATACACCTGTAGCAGTCGAAATACTCGGCGAGCGCGGGCGGCGCGGACGACCGGCGGCGCAGCGGAGTGATACAAAAGTGCAGACGAGATGGCGTGACCTATTGGCGGCGTGTGATTGGCTCCGGCCACACGTAGCTTGGGCTGTGCTCGGACGGAAGCTGAAACGAAGCATAGGTACCTTTGTTGAAAATATGGTGCATGCCACCGCATGTCCGGGGAGTTCGCGGCATCCTACGTCTTGGTAAGCGCATCCGCGTGGTGCGAGGTCCACCACCAGCATGGTGCAGGGCCCCGTCCTTCCTTGGCGTGACGTCGCGTGCAAGGTATGTATGCTGTGTCCCATGACAATGAGCATTTAGCTGTTTTAGTGAGCTTCACTCCGCCCACATCGTTCTTTTTTTTTTTTTTTTTTTTGAGAAAGACGGAAGTCTTTTAGTTGTCCCGCCTCCAGGGAGAGCTTCCTGCCTTCGATCACACTTCGGCGTCTCGCGAGCTTCGATGCACGCGCAGCTGAAGCACAGCGGAAGGCTACGAGCGCATGCTAGAAGCCGAGGCTCTGCCGTTATCGTCGGAGTAGCTGCCGTTACCGTCAACACGAGTTGTTTGGTCACTTTGGAGGGGACGCCAGCGATACGTCAAGGAAGGTCAACAAGTTCAATATTTCGCTTGGAAAAGGCTAAGCGAAACCGAAAGGATACGACGCCGCCCGCTTGCGAGGCTCAGTTGGTTTGTTAGTGTATATCGTAGCACCTCTCATCTAAATCAATCACAATTTGCGAGAACACCGTAATTTGCGCGCACAACAAATGCCAGAAAACTTTTGTTGGATTTCGATTTGGATCATGGTGACTATTGGTTGGATTCCAAAACCACGAACCAATGCTCAAAAAATGTATGCTACCAATAATAACATTGACTTTATAATAAAACTATAAAATGATATAAAACGAAAAAGGTTACCAATACAATAATTGCTATAATAGCTTGCGATTGATTGCTTCTACAATCTCGATCGACCATATTCGAAACCGAAACTACTTATGCGCAGCCTACCATGTCGAATTGGATGTATTCCATAATTTTTATTTCTATTAATTAATATATAAATCAGTTCTTCATACCCATCGAATCCTTTTAAATCACTGCGAGTTCTAATGCTGTCAATGCTGTCTACGGCGTCCTATGCTGCCCTATGCAGGCACGCACCGAACTAAGAAAAAAAAATCTTTTTACTTTTCTTATTTTGGCGAAGGAAGACCTGCAAAAGCTGTACTGAGGTGGGAATGAAGTAATGGCCGGCCGCAAGTCGGCAAGCCAGAGTGGAAAGGCTGGAAAGGTTGCCGCCATCTATGAGCGACGGTGTGGTTGCCGCCGTCGCTCATAGATGTGTTGTACAGAGTGTTGTGTCGACATTTGTTTGCTGACGGACACGATCCTGGGGAAACTAGCCCTTAACAACTCCGGTGTAAAAAAAAGAAAAGCTATGCCGATTAACTGGGCTCTGGATGTATCCAAGTCAAACCATCCGTGGCAGAAAAGAGCTACGGTGGATGGCTCAAAGGTTAAAGGGAGACCCAGCCCATAGCGGTCCGGAGCACCTGTACAGAGATGCGTCCCCGCCCAATCCAAATCTGTCACCAAAAATTTTTTTTTTTTTTTTAAGGCAAACAGTGCACAACAGCAATACCCACGTCTACATGAAAGCTGAGGCAAGCTGGCCTTGTTGCCGACGTTGGCAATGTTTAGATATATCCGTTTGCTACTAGTCCCTGGTTTTTAGCTGTTGGTAAAGCTCTTCGCTGGCCCTGGAGAGGTCCCGGATTCGCTACCCGGACCCCACGTATACATGAAAGCTGAGGCAAGCTGGCCTTGTTGCCGACGTTGGCAATGTTTAGATATATCCGTTTGCTACTAGTCCCTGGTTTTTAGCTGTTGGTAAAGCTCTTCGCTGGCCCTGGAAAGGTCCCGGATTCGCTACCCGGACCAGGCGGATTTTTTCAGCGGCCACCCTAAAGGGCGCGAGGTGCGCATTACTTCAGATGGAAGTGAATGTATACTTAAATATAATGCTTGACAAATTTAAATACCACCTAGATTGCCCAACCCAAACTGATTGAGGATTCCTCCTGAATTAGCAGCTACAAGGTATGTTTGGCCTGGTCGGTTAATGAGCATCTTGGTTTGAAACAGCACGACAAGACAAGGACAAAGTAAGGACGAGACAGATGACAGCTGTCGTCTGTCTCGTTTTTTACTTTGTCCTCGTCACGCTGTTGCAAACCAAAATGAATTAGCAGGCTTTTGCAAAGTCTGGCCACCTTGCTGTCAGCTTTTGAGGACCTGCTGTGAACTTTCTGGAGATAGAAGGTTAGACGGCAACTTGTTTGTCATCACGTTATGAATAGAGGTGGCACGGATGAGTCGAAGACCGTTACGGATAGCATTTACAGTGATGGAAGCGGCATTTGACCTTTTGCAGCACGTTCCGTGGCAGGCAATACATTGGTTTGGAGCAGCAGTGATCCTTTTGGAGCAGATGCCAATATCAGTTAGCACATTACTTAAAAATGAAAGTGATTGCATCGCTAAATGAGTTCATCTTTGATGATGACGGAGGGTTCCTCTTGATACCGCAGCATATTAGTCATAACCTTTGCAACGAGGATAGGGCACCAGAGGAACACATAGCATTCTTTTCAGAAATAAGGCTCTAGTCTCAGAAGGTTATGTGGGTACTAAAGCATTGATGAAAAATGAATCATAGTGTAACACTTCAGTTGGGATAAAGCTTCTCTCCCCTCATACTTTTACAATGGCGTTGGAACCAGAGTGAAGTCCAAGTTCGCTGTTCTTTCGATCGACAGATGCACGAGAACAACTTTGACTACAATTTATTCAAATATACACAAGCATTTTAATTTTCTCAAAGCAGGGCTTTTTTTCTTTTTCTTTTTTTTTCCAAATTAAAGATTAATTTATTACTAGGACAAAAAAAGAATCTGAATAGTTTTAAGCATAATTACTCGGCCTCTGGGCCTATCACGCTAAACCAGGCTAAACCAGGTGCTCACCCGCGTCAGCCACTACACCTAGTACTTCGGTACAAAGCGGTAAAACTAGACATGCGCGCTCTGTTGAGAGGAGGCACGGAGACATGCGGCGGACATGATAATTAAGTATCTCATCAGGAGTACAAGACCCTGGTTCTGTTTTAGCACAGTAGCCGCCATCCTACAATTTGGCAATGTTTTCTCGCAACTTCTCGAAATTGCCGACATAGTCTGGAAATTTAGAAAATGTCGGCGATCAACCCGTCAGCGCATCAAACAACCAGCACGGTTGACGAGCAATCTCAATACTTTGTCTCACCTTAATTCAAAGTGCAGCTGATGCTACGAGCCAATGGGACAAACCAGCGTTAATGGAATTTGTCCAGCTTCCCGTGTGTGGTCCTTCATCGACTAAATGATTCCGGTGCAGCGAATGTCCCATGACTTGCACTTTTAGTATGGGTTTGTGCACACATAGTGTGCATGAGTCTTCATGCACACTATGTGGTGAGTAGAGATGCTCCGAAATGCATATTTGTACCATTTTTCTTTCCTCTTACTTCTCTAAACATTAAAATCGAGCTATATATATATTTTCTTTTTCGCTTTGTTCATTTAAGCACATGAGTGGCGCAGTTCTTAGCACTACATCATAAGATGCAGCACACTTTTGTTCATGGCACACTTTGGTGCAAAAGGTGCAGCACTTGCACACTGCATTTCTTGCGCATTAAAGGGGCATATGACAACTATGGGCATAACTGAGAGAGTATGATTTAGACACACATTTGGTTAGGCTTCTACGACTGATATACATGGATGACGAAGTGTATATAACATGGGAAACAGGAATAATGGAACCAGCAGCAATAAAGAGAGGGATTAGGCAGAGTTGTCCGCTATCGCCCCTGCTTTTTACGATATACTGGAAAAGAAATTGGAACAGCGCAATTTAGGTTTTGACATGTCGTATACGGAAGGAGAGGGAGAAGTAAACCAAGTTGTACCAAAATTGTTCTACGCAGACAACATTGTACCGCTAGCAGATAGCCGGGTTGGATTACAGAAGCTGATAAAAATCTGTGGAGAGGAAGGAGTGTCTCTGGGCATGAAATTCAGTAGCGACAAGTCAAGAATAACAGCCCACTAAAAATACGGGTCATTTTCATAGAACATTTGGAAAGTATAAATAGCTGGGTGTACGAATGAACAAGGGAAAACATAAGAAGAACAGGAAGGGAATATGCTAAGGAAAAATGAACTCCGCGATCGTGAAGCATAGGGCACTATGAAATTACAGTAGATATGAAGTAGTTAGGGGAATACGGAAAGTAGTCATGGTGCTGGCTTTGTCTTTTGGCAACACAGTATTATGCATGAAATCTGATGTCCAGAGGGAAAAGGATTTTGCGGGGAGGAGAACATACTTATGGTTTCTAGGCTAGGTGGCGCAAGCTACCGCCCGTTATAAAGGGTATAGCCATTAGCATCCATCCATCCATCCAGACATTTCAACTCGCGGGCTGGTCTAAAAGCACAGGGTGGACCCAGTCGGTGCCCGTCACATGGCGCTGGTTTCACAATACAGTACACACAGCCCAGCATACTGTAATATCACCAGTCACCACCCATCCCAGAGACATTGCCCAGCCCACTTTTTGAGCAAATATTGATTTCCAAACAAACACCGAGTGATTGCCCACCCGTAGAAATACCTCAACGCGGACTCCGCGATCCGCGAGCATTCATCCTATCCAAGTCACACGGCCGCAAATGTTACGGTTGGAGGACGTCCGTGACAGAGTAAAATGAAGGAGGGAAAGACACCTTATTTTGTTTATGCATTTCCATCTCGATTTCGGAGAGCCCGAAGTCAGAGTACAAGCATGTGAAAAGAAAACAACGTAGATAACAAAAAAAAATTTTGCTTACAAAAAAAAAAAAAAAAGTCGGTAAAGATAACACAGGCAACAACCCATTCAGGAATCGCGAGGTCAGCGAATGGCCCATATCTTGGTATGTAACCGCAGAGTGCAAGGTCCAAGTCCATCTCCACCGAAATAAGGTCACCGCAAACCCGCCCTTTCTCCCGGAACGTCACGACCTCGGTTGATAAAGTTGTGCAGTGTTTCAGACGAAACCAATGGGTAAATAAAAATTTGCTGGGATGCTGCACACAGATGATCGTAAAGCGTCCCATTTCGAGTTCCATGTTTGTGGTGTCATCCACGCCACGCCGCCTCAACCCATGCCGAGAGCGCACCGCACACGGATGCACCCCTGTATGCACCAACCAAGAATGTTGGACAAGAGCCTGCTCCTGGCGATTAACAAGGCGCCTGACTTGGCCCGATGCCAAAGTATTTGCCAATGCGATCGCAGGCTTTCTTTCTTCCCCAGCATCACTCTTCGTCGCCTCTTTCGCCCGTTGTACCTGGTTGGTTTTTATATTTTCCTGTTAGCTTTGTTTTTTGGTCTTTCTTCTTTTTGTAGCTAACGAAGAGAACATAGCGTTGTTAGGAACATGCTTTCACAGAAAAAAGTTTGCGCTGTATGCCGATCAGCGGTGTTCAACATGTCAACGGCCGCATGCAAGCCACGAACTTCACGATAGTGAAACATTCTTTCGTAAGCATTTCTTTCACAAAACGATAAAACTAATTCGACTTTTGAGTTTAATGTATCTCTTGGGCAGCCGCACTAGATATGTGCAGGAAAATAGGCATCCTTTTTAGCTTTTTTAAACACTTCTGTGCTCGCGCACCGAGACATGGACCACCCCATTTTTTTAATGAATTTCAGGGGGCAGGGTGATAACTCGAACTATTACGTAGTCCATTAATCAACAAATGCACAATAAAACACACCAAGGACAATGCAATTCTTATCAGGTCAAAATATATTTCACAATCGCAACTAAAATACAAACTGCGGCAGCAGGATTCATGTTTCGAACATACATATAACAGGCAGTCTCGAGAGACTGTTCGGAAATAAAAACGCGGCATGACTTCCCAAAGAGTTTGTCCGTTCGCTCCTCACCAAGCTTGACCCCAATTTGCAGACACGCAGCTTGTACACGAGATGAATGCCCGAAAATGCCACGGGGAAAAAAAAAAATAAAAAAGATCTCGTAGTCCCGAAGGACCGCCACAGAGACGTAATGCCCCACCATCTTCCGAAAACCGCGGCACATGCACACATCTCAATACCGGAATTCCCGAGTTCGGCAGCAAATGCAACAACGTGATCGAACAAAAAAAAAAAATAAAGTCTGCCAGAAACCCAACAAAATAAATTACACCGGCAAGTCAACTCGAGGCACACAAAGAGTCCCGTGCGTCGTGACGACGGTCCTTCGTGATAAAGGGCACGGGGTAAATAAAAAATACTTCTTTTTTTTTTTTGTGAGTCACTCGTCACTCCCTAAAGCTGTACACAGGGGAAACGATAGACGCTGCACGAGAAACGACCACGCGTGCACCTTCAAGAAAGCGATACCCCCACGGGCTGTTGACCGAGGGTTCAGATCAGCGAGCGAGCACATCTGCTCAGAGTTTTTTTAGGGGTATAGTCGAACAGGCTCAGTTGTAGTCAGGTTGTTAAGAAAAACGAAAACAACGAGGATACAAAGCCCCAAGCCCCTAAATAAGCTCAGTTATAGTCCTAGAAGAACCGCGTTAGAACGTGAACGAATTAAATGTATAACGAACGAGAACGGTTTTCGACGACGTCGGGTCGACTAATGCACGAGCGCACGGGTGGTCACCACGGCAAGGTCGTTGGTGCTGGTGGAAAGCTGCGGGGCCGGCGAGTGAGCAATTTCCAGGTGGTCTTGTGTGTGGTACACGTCGTTCGACGTGGAGGGGTGCACGCTTTCCACCAGAAACTGCACCTGGCAAGGAGACGACAAACGCCACGTTGCAAGAGCTGGACATCCTTGGGTTTTGAACCTCCTCCGTTCGGTTCTCCCGATTTCAGCGCGGGTTCGAGAATGCTGCACCCGCAGTACAGTGGCACCTCTTACCAATAGATTCAAACTTCAAAAGAAGAGACAACCATTTTTATGATCGCGGACAAAGGGGAGGAAATCCCACGTACGAATTTGCCGATATCGTGCATTTTAAAGAATACAGCGAGAATGAATTCATGGCAGGGAGAAAACCGATTTGTTGCGAGCCTTCGTCGATCTGTTACGCGTTCGACTCGCAAACTTCGCAAATAGTATTAAGTCGCCACAAAGTGCAAGCCCCCTACTGTATTCTATACCATTTGCCGAACTCCCAATGCTGTACAGAGCTGGCCCTTCTTGCTAACGGGAACATGTAGCCATACAATTTTGGCTTCACTGTGCACAAAACCACCACCCAATTCAGAAACAATTGCTAAAAAACGCAAGGACCGAATGAAGGTGGCACTCCAAGGAACTCCTGCTCTTTTTGGCGCCAACGGTTTCCGAGTCATCCAGTACCAACTTTATCACTTCACCGTCGCATAGACTGACGACCATTAAAGTATTGTGCCTGGAACTAGTCACCGACCGGCATGTCTAGCATCCTTTTCCGCCCATGCATCAAAAGTGGTCCTGAAGTGGCCACAAATGAAGTCACAAAAGCCGGAGCGTCATGCAGCTGGATGGTGTGATCATCGCGGTTGGTCATAGGAGCTTCAACAAAAAGCACGAGCGAAAGCGAGCACTGCTGTCGTCGCGGAGTCTCCACTCCCGACTGCCGAAGCTTCCATGAACTGTCAAGCCGGAGATAGACCTGCGACAAAACAGCCGTCGACCACGTCCACCCCCACGCCACCGTCGGGATCTTAGCAGGCATCAGTACGACACTTCCGTGACGCCGTAGGGCGGAAATCAAGGGACCACGTTTGAGGACGCAGTAAACACACGGGTCGAAGACAACTTCCAGGCACAGTAATGAAAGCCGCCAGACACTCCTGCGAGTTGCAAGGAAGGGGCCGAGTCAGAACGGGAACTTACTTTGGGCGAAATGAGGCAGATCTGGCGGAGCTCCCGCACAAAGGTGAGCAGGTACAGGTCCACCGCAAATACCAGGATCCATTCGGATGCCGTGCTGGCCACGTGTAAGTGGTAACCCTGCGCATAAAAGACGGCAGAAGCGGAGTGCCTTAGGATATGCCTACCTTGGGCTAGAGATCAGGATCTCTGTCGTGCAAGTTTGTGCAATAAAGCAGTTTGGCAGCTTGATAAACGACAAAGTTGAGTGATGAAACTGTTTTTGTATGATAGAAGGACTTGTCTCGTGTGAAGTTTGTGCAATGAAATTATCGAGCAGCTTGTTAACGACAGTAGTTGAGAAAGAGGAATGCCAGCCTCTAAGCGCACCTTTCGCAAACATTAGCGAGTGCAAACAAGAACTGGTCCCCATGAAGTGTATACTCTGAGCAGTTGTGGGGATTCCTGTGGTTTCCCTTCCCCGATGGTGACGATAGCGGCCATGGGTCGGGACGCTCGGTTTCCTTCGCCGTGAGCTCCGACTTGTTTGTGAAGCGGAGGGTTCAGTCTTGGAAGACCCTCCTCTCACTCCCTCCTAGAGGGACCTCTTTCCGTTCTCCCGCTCAGATGCAGATCACTGCTGACAGGCGAGGAGGTTTCACCCCTTGTTTTCCCACTTTCAGGAGAGGGACTCGTCCGACGACCGCAAAAGGGATAGGACGTGTATTGGAGACTCCTTTGATGCTTCCCCGATCTTGGCTCTCTAGAACCCCGCGTCTGGCAGGTAAGGACCGGCGCAGGGGCATTTTGCATGGCAACAAGGTAGTTTGTATAGCAGAGTGTTTTAATAAATGCTCTTGGACTGCGTCCTTACTCTGGTATGTGTGTCTTCTCTTGCGCTATATTCAAAAGAGTGAGACAAAATAGCCGATCATTGGCACCAACGGAGGTAATTTATCGAACCGACCCGCAGTAATGTGGCCCTAAACGTCGTCTACATTGCCGCGGAGATGTGGGGACCGCGGGCTACTAGGTTTGATGTCTCCTTTAAGATCGCCGCCACTGTTGAGATAACCCTTTGGTTACTCTACTGGTGCCTCTGTTAGTAGCTACAAATCCCGCACATCACAGTTAACCAAAGCAAAGAAATTGTTTCATGGTCCCTTTTAACCCTGTATAAAGCAGAAATCCTTCTGGAAGTAGAGCAGATTGACGGTCCTTTGGTGCTATAAATGGCCAAAAAAACACACCTTTATGTGTTTGGAAGGACACATACATCACCAAACATACACCCCCCTCTCCCTTCTCCCCCCAAAAATTATTGCAGTAATGGACCTTGCAAGACTCATTTTAAATAAGGAGTCATTCCGAAACACGCTTTCTTATTCCCAGAGACAGTGACCCCGAAATAGAAGCAAGTTTTCGAAATCGCTCGTACAAGTCTCGCAAAAAAAATATACTGCGCAATTTCTTTCGTTGGTTTTTCCAAGGAAAATTTATTTTGTAGCATGTGTCCTATCCAGACACTTAGAAAAAAAAATTGCAGTGGCTTAGCTCGGCTATGCCAGGATATACGTAGCGCAAGCTTATGCGCACAAAATGAGAGGCGCTATCAAGCGGCTCCAGTGCAGCGTCAGACTTAGTTACTGCGCAACGGAGGCGCACAGCTGGGCATGCGGCGGCGCCAGTGCGTCTGCCACGGCTATGACGTCACTCCTCTGGAATGCGCAGACCGGCTTTGGCGCACGCGGCGGCGGCTTTGGCGCGCCAGCTGTGCACCGTGTGACGTTACTGCTCCTCGCGCATGCACAGCACGAAGCACGGCTCATTGTGCAAGCCACACGAAACTGCTCACCCTCGGCCAGTGTAGCTCACGCTACAAAAATGAACTTTTTGCAAGTTCAGTTTTTTCTCAGGACCCCCCCCCCCCCCCCCTCGAGTACTCCGCGAAACGCGGCCCGAGAGCCCATTGGCTTTACGACAGCCAAGGCTAAACAATACGCACCCCGTCCTCCGGTTTCCACTTTGTCCGGTCCTTCCCGTGAAACTTGCTGAACGACAACGGCGCCGTAATAGCAGCTGAAACAACCTCGTCAAGGCACCACACCGGTCCCCACGCAGAGACTGCGCCAATTCCGAAGAAAAAATATACCTGTCCATTCCGCGATATAAATCGCTTTATGGGTCAAACACATCCCTCCCAACTTTCAAAAACTCAGTTTGACAAAAAGGAAGCTATGCCTCCCATCCTTTGCATACACCTTTTTCCAACATTTGCAAAATCACAGCCCAATGCGCCATGTTCACCGCCCAGCGTGCACATATTCGCCGCTTTGGAAAGCGATCAAAGCGTGCACAAATGCTGAAAATGGCGCCCACCAGAAGAAAACACTTCTCGAATAGTTTACTCTATATGTACCAGGTGTTCTCAAACTTTTCGATCTCAAGGAATGCACATCTCATTTTACTGATAGCTGAGGAACACCTTTTCATTTTGGCGTTGACGTAATAAAGCAGTTAAAAAGCACACAGACCTTGTCAAGAATAACCTGCAGACTAGGGAGTGCATGGCTCATAGTTGTTCATCAATTAGTGACTCAGATATATTAAAAAAAAAAAGTGCTGAAACTGAAAAAAAAACCTCACCTAGGGGCCAGAACAGCTGAGTAAGTCTAGAAGCTCAGAGAACCTTCGAGCGTAGCCTGGGGCTGTGTCCCAAATCTTAACACAGATTGAAAAACATTGGATGTCGAAATAAACTGAAACAGGCTGTCAAAGGATACTTGAAATGAAGGCCACCGTGGCCAGTACGGACAGGAGTAGCCGCAGCCGAGCGACGGTCAGCGTGTTGACGAGCGGCTGCATGTGGAAACTCATCCGTGTGTGGACCCATGTGTAGGCTGTGCCCACCCCAACCGCCAGGAATGCCCCGCACAAGTGGACGTACAGCACTTCAGTCTCCTGTGGGGACGACATCAAGATTACCAAGTGCAGAGACAAACATAGAAACAGACAGGAGCAAACAATGCATCAAACGAGAAGAACCTATTGGGGAACAGCAGGTGGAAGCTGTTGAGCGTGTGACCAGAAGAATTAATTCGCCTTGTGGGAACATAACCACAGACAGGATACTAACAGCACGGAGGCCCTTCCGTTGTTCCGCCTCCAGCACAAGCTTCTTGCCTCCTACAACACTTGGGCATCTCTAAAGGCTTGAGAGTGCCTGCACAGCCAAAGCATGGAGCAAAGCCATCCACCATGTTTTGGCTGAAAGAGATGCTCCAAAAGAGATATATGCCCTGCTTATGCGTGTGTGTGGCATCGATTTGGGTGCTTACGTTCGGTGTTAGATGCCAACCTCTACGACTGCTAAGTGGGAAAGAAGCACCGATGCTGAGTTCGGTCTAACCTGCCACCAGTGCCCAGTTAAAATACCCATTGGGTCCAATTGGCTTTTTCAATTGGTACCGAGTTTACAGACTCCCAACTGGAAAAATACCAATTGGTAATTTCCGAATTGGAAAAATGCCAGTTGGAATAATACCAATCGGAACCTGTGCTTTCGGACTGCCAACTGGAAAAACACCCATTGGTATTTTCCAATTGGAGAGATACCCATTGGTATTTTCCAATCGGTGTATACGGTGAAATAGCAAAGTTGAACATCTGAAAAGCAGAATAGCATGGCCACGTTCTCATGTCAGGCTACCCAAAAGTTTGTCGCAAGTAGTACCAGTCTCATCAATGTGGTTGCTGTAACTCTGCTCCTCTTGTATGTACCACCAAAATGAAAAGAACAACCTACGTGTAGCTCACACTCATCACACTCAGCATTCTTAGAAACATATCTTATGTGTACTGAAAAACACAACAGGTCTGCCAGCACCTTTTCAGTCCGAGTTTTCTTCTAAGCACACTGCATAACAAAAAAAAAAAAAAGATTAAAAAAAATTTGGTTTGGGGTTTTATGGTGTTTTATCATCTTTTGAACCTTCATATTTTACGTCTAGAAATAATGAGGATAGGTTATGATCGCGAAATTAGTCAGTAATACATTTGCAGAACTCCCAGCAACCCAGAACGGCATAAATCTGATCCATTTTGGTCTGCACGGTACTTCAAATTGTGATGTCACTCGCCATCACATTTATTTTGAAGGTAGACCCAGTCGTCTTCTCTCCACTGCATTATTTTTTAGCTTCAATTTTTCACGAAAAAATTATTACAAAAAATTCTCTTTCCTGCCACGAAAGAGTTTCGCTGCACGTCAATGCCAATATTCAGTCAGTCAGTCAGTCAGCCAATATTCAAAAGTGTTTTTCTCTCCTCATAATTTTGAAACATCTTTGCAGTTTGCGCACAAGAATTTTTCTTTTTAATATTGTCCTATCACAACCAAATTTGGCACGTATATGCTTTAGAATGTGTAAACTACCTAGGTTTGGCTAGAATATGCCTTCTTATATGCCATTTGGGAAAGAATTGTTTCTTTATTTTCACTTATTTGAGAAAGTTTCACACACAATATTTTTGTTGTTCATTGCATTCAGTGGCTTAAAAACAGTGAATTAGCAGATTTTACTATGCCCTTTTGACTGTATTGTCATGTCCCATCTGTGCTCAAAAACACATTTTTTTTTTTAGCACGCGCATGGAAACAAAAGAGAAAAACAAGCTATATTTAAACTGGCACCTGATTTATAAAATGATATCAAGCACTATAAACTGTCAAAAATTTCATTCAATTATTGTAAATAATTACAAAAAATGTTTTCCCCTGGCTAATGTCCCATTAAAGGGTATTCACACGAGGGAGATATCTCTTCTTTTGCCCCTCGGGATGTTCATCACGTAATAAAAATGTCACTCTGCACAAAGCCGCTGACGTAGCCATCCCAGGGGGATATATAAATAATGCGAACAACATAAAACACAGGGACAGACAAGACGACGAAATCGTCTTGTCCGTTTCTGTGTTTTATGTTCTTCCCATTGTTTATATCAACCTCACCACCACGCCCTCCATTCGAAGAATCCTAGAAGGATAAGGGAGCTTTTGATCGGGCTGCACCAACAGTCCCTGCTTTGGCGTGGGATCTCTTCGCAATTCCCGGCATTTCGTTTGCGTGTCTGGCAACCTAATGGATTTTGCTCACTGGGACAGTGGCATCGGGATCGCCGAATTCGTTGCGGCTCGCGCTGTTGTGCATGTCGTCCGAGGGACCCAAGGAGGGATCTGAAGGGGTCTTCGACATTCATAAATGCCGTCCTCATGCCGCTACCACTACTTGTACAACTGGTTTTGGATTCCACGTTCTTTGTGTTGCATTCACTCATTCAAAAGCATCCTCCTTTTACTTTTTTTTTTTTTTTGCTGGAAGCAGTTTGTTGTTTTTTGCATCCAACGGCGCTGCTTCCATAATCGCATATCGCCATTCACGTACGCCTCCATTTTTCTACCGTCGTGCCGAGCCATGTTGTCGAGAGTGCGAGTGCAAAACGCCTCTGGTAACACTGACTATCCTCTCGGCTCCCCGCCGTTTGTGTGAATGCTGGAGTCGGGGAGGGAGTCCCGCTGGTTCCGCCAATCACAGACGTCGCGCACATCCTTCCCCGAAAAGCATTCCCCGTGCGAATACCCCCATAACACCTATTGGGAGGAGGCAGCAAAGTGCTCCGAGTAAGTCCCTCTCACTCAACAGGATGCACGATCGAACGTAGATTCCACTCTTTCACAATCCAACATAATCTTCCAAAATGTGTGGATTTAAAGTTACCATCAAGATATCAGTTTCCTCTCACTATCCAAGAGCCGAACAGTCAGGTAAGATGCACAGACACATCCGTCCGTGCTCCAGGGCACGATGAAGTGCTAACAAAACATTCGAGCAACGCACCTGAAAGTTTGCCACGATGGAAACTCCGAGAGAAGCCATCCAGCCGAGCCAAAGCCCGGCCCTGTTGAGCCGTAGCACCTTTGGAGACTCCTGGGAAAGGTGGTCCCGGTAATACTGCTCCACTTCCTTATAGCGCACATACACGGTGCCAGCCACTGTGGAGCAAACGGCGTGAGTTAACAGTTTTCGTTTTCGATCGTAATTGTCCAGCTCATTTGTTTTAGTCTCGTGCAGCTCGCCCTTTTCAATACTTTATTTTCGGTCCTATCCATCAGGCCGACCTTTCTAGTATGTGCAGTTGAAAGATAACACCGCCCTTTAAAAATTATGCCTCTATGGCAATGAAAGGGTTAGATTCCTAGGAAGTGTGATGCATCGAGGAAAGCGCCGATTTAGTACTATTAGGAGCGGGACATTACATCCTTCTTTAACAAATAGAAATGGCAAGAACCATGCAATCGATCGGTGTGGTCAAGTGGCTACACTACCATTACAGTGTCTGCAACGCATCTCCAACTGGTGTGTCTAGTGCATCCAAAGAGTGGTCCCTCGATTTCCGCTTTAAAGAGATACTTCAACGAAATTTGAAATATACCTGTCGTGTTCAGAAATAGGTTGAGATCCACAATATCCGTAAATGACAATCGCACATTTGTATTTTGAGCCTCATGGCTGTACTTATCGTTATAAACGGCCCACACTGGCATGCACTCCGAGAGCAGCCAGCCGAGAGCACCTTACATCCGGCACAATCGTGACGTAGTTTGTCTCAGGATGAGCGAAGCAGCGGCGAGGCTGACGTCGCCAGGATGCCCTAGCCGTTCCAGCCAACAAATTGGTCAAAGCATGGCAGCGATCGGGCCACCGCAACTAACCTCAAAGCTGCTTTTGTGCGAATTTCGAGGGACAGGTTAATCTTCTATAACCTTGTAGAGGGAGAGTAGCAATGTCTGGGACACACAAAAGAGAATCCCATTGAGTGGGGTGTTCCTCCCTCCCCTCTTCTCTTGTGCTGGCTGTAGAGCTGTTGGGATGATGTCGGCTTCAAAACATGTATAGTTCTAGTGAGACAGCTATAGTCACTACCTGTGAAGGTTCCTAGACCTGCGATACGAACAAAACTTTAGCGATATCTACAAGGTGCTCTTTGCTAATCTTTTCATTTGTTTTAAAATTCCTTTTCGTTTCTTTTTTAACAAGATATTGGTGTGTCCAACGTGATACTGCTCCTTCGAACGCGTATACACCAAGAAATAAGCGCCGAAATTTCGTTGTAGTATCCCTTTAAGACGTCATAAAAGTTGTGCCGTCATCGGCCATGTGTTTGTGGCAGATGCCTTTAATGCTCTCCAGCTTGAGAGTCCACAGAAGTTTCAGCAGCCAGGAGTTGGGAGGCCACCCCCACGGCAATACTGGCATTCTCCGTGTTTTTTTTTTTCCCAGAACTTCTACACTTAACCACCAGGTTTGCGGCATCCGACAGCAACACTCCGGCATTTATGAGGTCATTTGCTGCCACTTTGGGACCGCTTTCGATGCACGGGGGAAATAGGACGCTAAACACACCAGACAGAGACACATTCCAGGAACTGTAGTACTATGCACATTTAGTCGTGTTTCTTTTCTCCCCTTAAAGGGCCCCTAAAAAGAAAAAAAAAAAACGGTTTTATTTTAAACACTCTGGTTGGGAAATATGTGTCAAAAAATAAATTTTACGCAAAAAATTATTTTTTTTTAAAGCAAGATTGACAGCGAGAGATTGATTTGAAATTCTGTGCGCAAAGTCTACGACGTCACGGAATGGTAATTCGGTCAGTGAGATGGTAATCTGCTCTTTCCACCTCAAAGTGAAGGCGAAGCAGATCAATCTTTCCTCCACGCGCCCGAAATGCCAAAAGAAAACAAGTGGAAAGGAGGTGACTACCAACTAAATCGTACCTCGCGACGTCAATATTGCTCTAGAAGAATTTTTTTTTTTTTGCTTAAATTTAATTTTTTGACACACGTGTCCCAATTAGACTGTTTAAAAAAAAAAAAAAGTTTTTCTTTTCAGAGGCCCTTAAGTAGGGCTTTGCTAATTTGCAGTCCCCACAACTGGACCAATTTTATTGCCATTTGTCAGCTGTGTCTGAAGCAGCCCCACAGCCCTTAGATAACTTGGTCTGGAATCTTTTTGTCACGCTATGGGGAAGTTCTCCCTAGGAACAAATTGAAGTGCCAGAGCCACGCTGTCGACGTTAGGAGTCAATCAATCAGATTGACTTGTTCGGGGCAGCCACCACGGAGAAAGTCGCTGGACGCGTCAACCCTTTCACAAAACCCTATGGACCCGTCGAAAAGATGGAACAATTAGAAACACTATCTATACTTGAGATCTTGACGTCACACTATTTCGGAATAACTGAAACACATTGGGAAGTGTGCTACATCTGCATTAAAAAAATTATCAAAGTTTTAAAAAGTATCTTCGTTCAATTTTTTAAAATTATTTTTGCACGAATCAGCGCCGTTTATGGTGACAAAAATTACTACCTTAAAATACCGGGCAGGCAGTCACTCAAGATTGAGATAATCACGGAAAAATGGGCGATAGGCACTTGTCTGCTCATCAATTTTACATATAAATGTACTGTGCATATTTTCTTGGATGTTACAAATTTGGGAATGGGCGCTTAGTGTGGAATGGGCGGATGCGCGCTATTCTATGGTAGGGCAGAAACCGCCAAAGTTTCCAGATCAGTAAGTAGTTTATTTAAGATATATGGCAGTGCATTCACACAGACAAAACATGAAAGCGTCTCTCACTCAGGGCAGCGCACAAATTGAGCAGTTGGCTGAAGATGCAGCTCTCTGGAGCGTACGTGCCAGTGTCGCTGATGTATGGAAAGTCGGCTTCAACGTGGCCAAGAGCAATCGAGATCAAGTATCTGTTTGGAAAACAACAAGCAACCGTGCACACGCGCAATCAGACAAACAAATAGCACCCTCATGCAGAGCAGCAAGCCATCCAAACATAACAGTCACTCAGCAAATCAGTGACGTTTATATGCCAAATTACATATTTCAATGGTACCTTTGGAACCGCACCGTTGAAACGGTGCCTGAAACCATCTAAGAAGCACAGCATAAAGTGCCACAATAATATATTGCAGAGGAAGCGTTGTCCACAGGAGGGTGAAAAGTATCTATGGTGCGTGATAGAATGACTCTGGTACTTGTAAGATGGCCGCTTCGCCACTTCTTCACCACAATGCGGCCAGGCACCAGCCGGATGAACCATAAACCTAGAGTCAGTGCGATGAGGTTACTCCAGCTTTTGACAACTGGAAGCTCATAGATATGCAATGCATTTTCGAGCACTATTCGGTCATAAAAAAAAAAGAAAAAAAATCCATATAAATAAGTCAATTAGCAGAGTACAATTAAACATTTCGCAAATGTAGCTTCAGGTGGTGCATTTTATACTGCCCAAATTTCGCAAACATAGGCGTCTGTAAAAAAAAAAATGCAAGATAGGAAAATTAGTATTTTTATGCACAAGAAGAGAAACAAAACAGGCCATAACGGTGGCAGAGCGGGTTGGTGCACACCAGCTCGGAGCACGTGGAGCGAAAGCTCATGCTGCAAAACCCAGGGATTCTGGGTTCAATCTCCCCACCCCTGCCCGTTTCCATTTGGATGAGCAACATACCGGTGTGCGGTGTTTGTGCGACATAACTGCTTGGAGCACATTAAAAATCCCGGGCCAACAGTTGTGCTGTGCTGGCTTAATTTCTCACCTACAGACGACACACCAGATGCCCATTGGAGCTGACAAACATCCGGCTGTATAAACATACAACCCAATTATTAAGCAGAAACAAACAGCCTGGTTGACACTGCTGGACACAGATGGCCCCACATAAAACAAAAATACAAAAACTTTCTAGTGATGAAGACTATCAGGTCCGAGTTGTGTGGCACAATCTGCAAGTAGCAATGTCAACCAGATGATTTGTGTCTGTTTTTCTCCCTGCCCATTGGAATAATGCTTTTCTTTATTTTTTTAGCATTTTTTTTTTTTTTTTTTTTTAGGAATTTACACTAACAAAGCTTGAGTGTCACAAATGCACCACCTGCACCTTTGCGAAAATTTTCATCGAACTCCGTTTATTGGAACGACTGAACAGAGCTCAAGCCTTAAAAGGGATGCGTAACCGAAATAGGGATGTCACAAAATAAGGTTTCAGGGGTGTTCAACGGGGTGCCACACCGCTTAAAATACCACTTATAGAGAAAGCGATATCTCGAACGGATGGCCGTATTTTTGTAAAATATGGATGTGATTGAGTGAGAACCGCGCTTCCTGCAGAATTGTTGAGGAGGGGAAACAGCCTCGCTTCTTTTCCACTGCACGTCCCGAGTCCTCGCAGAGTTAAAGCGAGAAAAGGGGGAAACGAGAATCGCGACGTCACGGGCCTTTTTGGCCTTGTTCAAGCGCACTCTTCTTTCACAAAAATATGACCATCCGTTGAAGATATCGCTTTATGAGGGATGCTTTCGGGTATAGCGCCCCGCCTAGCGCTTCCGCATTGTTTTCTGGAATCAAAATTTTGTTTCAGCCTCCCTTTAAGGACACCCGGTACACTGCACGATTTGGTGCACTGTTAGTGTACCAAAACGACTTCGGCGCTTTTTCACACTTTACTTTGAAAGGGTACTTGACAGGCATAAAAATTTACCACTTAGTTTAGTACCCCCAACTGAACACTTTTCACCACTATAATGGTTTTGATCACAATGCTTCAAGATTGAGAGTACAAAAAACCGGCGATATGGCTGGCTTGCACTAACAGTGTCGCGGGGTACTAGCCTTCCATGTCCTATTTCTAGCTGTAGTGTTGCTTATAAATTTTAAGTACCACGAACTACGAAACAATAGAAATTAAAGGGCCGAGAATCACAAGAACTATCTTTAAGCACAGCAGCTCAATGCAAACGCAAATGACTCGCGGTACGGGTTCAGGTAGTACACAAAGAGAAGGAAAAGTAAGCGAAAAAACACACTACGAACTCACGTGAGGATGAAAGTACCGGGCAACAGAATAAACACCGACAGGGGCAGCAACTCCACCCGGGTAAGGGGCATCTTCGTCCTGTCAACGGGAAAAACTTGTCAGACAGGTACAATTACTCGTACCTCACGAGATTACTTTTCTCCAGGAAATGCCGTCCAGGCAATACTAACTTATCAAACTACGGGATCATTTTACCCACCACCTCGCAACGGCGGATAGCGACCGTCGTAATCAATCTTTACATAGTTTATTTTTTTTTTTATTTTTTTTTTTTTATCTGTGCTCTTTTATTAACCCGTTGTGTCGTTACAACCGGACGACACAATACACAAGGCCTTCAAAAGGACGCTCTTGTTTTGTTACGTGGAGACCTCGACTTCTAATCAACGCTATCATTCTCGTCAAAGTGGAGGAAAAAAAACTATATCAGCACGAAGCGACAGCTCCAAAGCTCGACACAACGCGCAGCCCAACAATACGAAAGCCACACGCGCACCGCCCCATTGCGATAGAAGGGTGAACCAAAACAAAAGAAACAAGCGTCCCCGCGCCCCAACGACAGTTCCTCCGGGCTGTCTCGGTTACGTCACGCTTGACTCATTACCTGCAATCTTGGGTGAACCTTATACTCTGTAGAAAGTCCGATGACAATCGGCCTAATCCGAGGGGCTGTGACCGCGGCCGCGACGAACAGTCGCAAAGAGGCGTCCACTGTCGATGCGATGTGCAGCGTGCATTGACGGCTGATTTGTCCCTTACTCACTGCAACCGTAGTACGCCGATGAACGGGCTGTCACTCGAACAATGCGTTTGTCTATCGCCGCTCTTCATTTATCGCGGCGCTACCTTACGAACGGTAGAAAAATGAGGCACTCAGGACAAAGGGAATCAGGGCATATCGGGCAAAAACAGCCGTAAAACTCGGATGAAAACCTCTCGCAACCCTCGCAACTGGCCATGGACGAACGCTGCGATCGATTTCTCTCTGGTGGCTTATTATTGCAGGTGGCGCTACCAGTCAGACCAAGACAGGAAAAACAGATCACTGACGGCTGCGTACTAACCGTACCAACCACATCTTGTGTAACCATTGTGTTGAGATTTGATACGCCGATTTTACTTTCAGTCCATCGCTTGCATCGTCAGCATAGTTGAAAATTTGCGTGCCTGAATCAGAAACAGAGACTGTCGGTGTAAATTATTGTACCACGGCGAGCAGTGAGCACCTTTTTCGGTGTAGCGGTTGCACCCTTTGGGGTGTTTTAAGATAAAAATGGATGTGAGCTGGCTCACCCTCACAATAGTGATCGTCGTCGGGTGTTAGCTCACGATCAGAAGGGCTTTAATGAAACGGTTTATATTTTGTGTCTATATTACAACTTTATAGCGCTGTAAAAAAAAAAAAAAATGTTATTGTTGTTTTACATTGGCGGCTAACCCGACAAACATGGCTTGCACTGACGTCGCACGCGCACTTTTGACCACCATGAAAGAGAGAGAGGGAAGCTGCGTTTGTAGGAATTTTGAGTGGCAGGTTAATCTTATATAACCTTCTGCTACGAGAATAGCGACGTCGGGGCAAATCCCGGAGACAGAAAAGAGGGTCTTGGAAAAAGGGGAGCTCCTTGATTCTTCCCCTCTTCTCTTGTGGCCATCGGAGCGCTCATTGAACGACATCCCCTTTTTCCCTCCCCCGTCCGCACACCACACCCCAAGTCATGGACACCCCAGCCAACTCAATCCCCCCTTCCCCTCCCTCCCCCCCCCCCCCCCCCCCACACACACAAAAAAAAAAAAAAAATCTTTCTGGCTATGTTACTGCATACAGCCCACGGCAAAATCAACACAGTCGCAATGTAGAAATGTCAAATAGTACCTCTGTGTGCCATCACACCCTCAACAGTTGCCTCTCGACAGCTACTCCTGAACGTGATACAGGTGATATGCTATGCTCAGCATCTTCTCACAATAAACTGTGTCTGCTCCAGAGGCAGCGCTTGCCTTCGTCCTAAACAAAGCCTCACTGTTTTATCACAAATAATCACCTACCTACCTACCTAAAAAAAAAAAAAAAAGGTGTTGGATATACGTCTGAAGGCGGGGGGAAATTCTTACACTCTAGTTGTGAAAAGAACGAAACCATAAACAACAGACAAGACAGAATTCACAGGGAATTTCTAGCATTAGGTTGTTTCTGACTAATCATATGAATGAATGAGAGAGAGAAAGAGAATGAGCACTTATTGAGAAGAAACAGCGAGGTCAGGTCAGTCAGCGCTTTGTGCCGGCTTGCAACGCTGTGGAATTCATTCATGCCAAGGTGTGCCATTTCGTGTTTTCCCCCAATCTGAGCTTTTTTTTATGCTAATCTATATTGTTGTGCTTGAGGCTGTCGCTTGTTTCCTGCCCACCTCAAATTTACCCACTTTACGAGCAAATTGACCCATCAGTTCACCAACTTGTCAGCATTCTGGAATATCTAACATTACGGTTGAAAATTCGATAGCTTCAGCAACCCATGTTTTTAAGAAATAACAGCTCGAAACACAACAAACAAGGCATTGGGAAAACACCGTCTTCTTTCTTTCACTTTCCCTGTCCGTCGTGTCTGTTGTGATGTCCCAATATACGTTGACCAATCAGCCATTCAGCGGGTCCGACATCAATGAGCGCCAACAGAATTCCCTATAATCGCACCTCCGGTTTAATAGCCGGAATTTTTTTAGATCACTAGAACCGTCTAGACTATAATAGAGCTTGTTTGGGGCGTTTGTCTATGTGTCCGTTTCCAATTTGGGTGAAAAAAAAGAGTAACGTTTACTTTGAAAACTTTTTTTATTTCGCGCACGACCGCATATCACGGATATCACAGAGTAGTCGCTTATGCAGTGGAGTCACAAGAGCAAAAAAAAAGGGGGGGGGGGGGGGGGGGTGGGGGGGGGGGGGGGGGACTATCTCGCATTCGCATTACAACTTTCACATTTATTAAATTTATTTAACCTCCGGTGAGTGGGACTCGACGTTTTCATTACAATGATCTTCTCGTTGTCCACATCCCAAATAAAACTCGCAAACTCGTAGCGTCCCAAAACGGTCAGCGGCACCCGAAGCTGTGGCCCCACCCCCCCCTCCCCGTAGTGGCCCCGCCGCGATTCCCTCCCCCCCTCCCCTGCCGCCCCCCCACCCCCCCCCCCCCCCCCCCCTCTTTCACGGTCCAACTGCGCGCCCCTGAGCGCTGCTCCCGGAGTGGTCCGCCCCCCCCCCCCCCCCTTTGTGACGTCAGTGAGTACAGCAGTGCATAAATGAACACACTGTGCTCGAATGTGGGCACGTGCTCAATCCCCACACCCGTACCATATCGCGGTGAGACAGTGGCATAGCCAGGAATTATTTACGGGGGGGGGGGGGGGGGGGGGGGGGGGGGGGGGGGGGGAGAGGGGGGGGCGCTTTGTCCCCATTTTTGCGTGTAATTGTCGATGCATACTGGACAATTCACGGGTACAGGCATGGCCGGCCCCAACCCCCAGGCTGGCTGGAACAATTCGGTAGTCATTCAAATATTTGTCTTCCTCTAATTAAAAAAAAAAAAAAAGAAAAAAAAAGATTTTTTTTTTTAGGGGGGGGGGGGGAGTAGATTCTTAAAAT